TTTTAAATCATTTGAAATCAACGCTCTGAATTTTGTCAACACACTTTATAACTCAACTTTATACAAATAGCTTTATTGCTAGGCGATTTAACATAAAATTAGATGGTTTCAGTTACTGGGGTTGACTGTATAAGTATAATGAAAGGTTGTGATCAAGTTGTCCTGTTTTAAAAGTTGGAGATCAACTTCCAACTAAAGCAATAGACTGAAGACGAACTATGCAATTTTCCAGCTTTTAGGTGATATATTCCTTTTAGATTAATAGTTTTATATTAGATAAAACTTCAAATAGATTCATTGCTTCGGCTCAAAATACGGTCATATCAAAACAATAACATTTATATAATAGTTTTATATTAGATACAACTTCAAATAGATTCATTGCTTCGGCCCAAAATACGGTCATATCNTAGATTCATTGCTTCGGCCCAAAATACGGTCATATCAAAACAATAACATTTATATGTATTCGTGTACATCTGATTATATTTGTCTTTAAAAAATATTTACTTTCATATTTCCTCCCCAATAAATCAATAACATTTCGAAAGAAAAAATATGTGCATTTAGAATGAGATTTTCTCGAGATATCATTATATTGTATTGACTACGCAATTGCATCTTAAAATATCAATCTTTCCTACTAAGAAAAACTATCCTCCGAATGCCTTGAGTCTTTTGGAAACATCACCGAGCTTTTGAAGTCGACTTGATATGCATAATTATCTCAATGTCTCCGGAGGAGGAAGGAAAATTTCCCATTTTACTCTGATAATGAGGTATTATGATATTCCCAGAAGAATTTCTAAACACAGAATATGTTACTTTAAAGACTTGAGCAAGCTTGTGGTTGGAAGCACTAAGCTGCACAAAAAGATAATATCCACAAACACTAATAAGAGCATTTGTTATATTCCTGCCCTACCAATTGCAACCTCAAATAAGGCAGTGGGGTCTTTAGACTGATTAGTTTACCACCCCACTCATAAGAGAATTGATTGACTTGACATTTGACAACAAGAAAATGAAATCATGGAGGGCCAACTGGAAATGGGAGTACCAAAGCAGCTTTACTTGATCGCCCTTTTTTATCAACTTATAGAAAGAATCACAGCACTGCAGGAATCTTAGATTTCAAGTCTACACATATCAAAGGTCGCATTTTCCTTACAACAGTAATGAATTCAATTCCATTTCCTCACTTGAAAACCAGATTCATATAATTCGTCAAGAAACATGCACAATTTTCATAAATAGATGTCGGCCAAGCTCAAACTCACGATGTTCGTCTGATAGATTACCATGCTTAACTAGGCAAGCTTATTTCCACAAACCAGGGCAGATGATAAGGAAAGCATATTTTTCAGTAATTACCTGGTTATTGCCAAAGAGCAGAAACACAGTTTCTCAATAACTTCCATGTTAAAATAGTTAACAAAGGAGTAAATAATTCTAGCAAGGGCTCCAATATTATGTACAACCCAAAGGATGAAAGATTACAGTGACAGTAAAGCGTTTATGCACAAGATGAACAGCTTTTTTTGATTGACTAATTACAGAAAAGTAGGATTTGCTAACAATACCAGTAAGTTGGAAGCACAAACATTTTTAACATATTTACAATGATATTATTTACACTAAGCAATCGGTTTTATATGTAAAAATCTCCCAGAGAAGAGGTTAACACTCGCCTAATAAAACATGAAGAACAAAACATAACGCAACGTACTGCTGAAAGATTACAGATCTTCTTCCCATTGACAATCGAAGCTGTGACAGTGTCATACTTTAAGCAATACTCGACCTCATACTTTAAGCAATACTCGGAAGTTTTAATTCCTATAAGTACGGCTTTTGATTCGATAGTATACATAATGTAGCAGTAATCATGTTCGGAGACATCGCAGCTTCACATATTTTGGAGAGACGAAAGCCATTGTTCCATATACTTTTTGCCTTCTACAACAAAAACAAATTGCAAGCCAAAGTCAGTTTCTATAGCCGTCACTTCTGACTGAAAGAAATAAATTATATTGCCACTCATGGTCTACCGAATTAAATCCACGAAGAATATGTAAATACCCGTTTAATTTTCAATTTAAGCAGTTTAAGGCCTCAAAAGTCGACACAAAAGGTAAATACATAAAGATTGAGTCCCCTTCCTTTGGTTCCATCTGCCAGTTGTTTGGAAATGTAACACATGAGCCTCAAATAAAACCGTCGTCAGGGGCACAAGAGGAGAAAAATTCAAATATAAACCGTCAAAAAATTCCAGATATTACGCCAGCAACACTATTTATCAATAATAGATATGGCATGAGAAAAGTGCACATGTATCGTCATATCACTATCTTATGGACCCATCCAACAAACACCAAGTCGAACAATCCTTCTAATAGGGAAAAGATCCCACAAACCGACACACGCCAAGGAATATACGACAAAGCTGAGGTCCCTGATGCAAAAGCCTATAGGCTAGTGCAAATGACGGAAGAACTAACAAAAAAAAATATAGGTTTTAAATCTCTGACAGCAAAAATTGAAATTTCATTGATGTATCCGTGCACAGTTTATAAAGTAAGCGTCTTTTTATCGATGATCTTCAAAGTCACATTTTTTTACTGACTGACGGTGCTTTTTTAGAAAGTAAGTCTTTTTAAGTGCAGCCAAACATGGTAAGATACTTACCATGGTAATAAATCCAAGTGCCCCCAGCAAAGAGCATTTAAAGACTCAATTACATCAACACCTCAAGCATAATTACTTCTACGTGCAAATCTAAGAAGCTCCAATCCGGCCTAATACCACTGGAGCATCATTCAAATTAAAGAACGATGCCATATTGTACTATAATAAAAAGGAATGACATTGTAAAAGAATAAAAATTAAGGACAAAAAATATGCATTTCTTCAATACAGCTCAGCTCTTACCAGCAGAGTACTCATATGGGAGGTTCTTCATGGCACTAAAGAACTGCTGATTAGGCACCTCCACTTCCTGCTTCTCTAATTCCTTGCAATCATGCCTATAGCAGGGGACCAACACAGCAAAACTGTCATCGGCATCAACATCGCCGAGGAAATCGGGAGCGTGCGGTTCAAGCCAACCAATGGACCAGTCCGAATCATCGGAGTCTGAAGCAGACAAACAAACCCCATCTGATGGAACCAAAACCACATCATACTCCTTTTCAATCCTCCTCTCCTCCCTACTTTTCCATTTCCTTTTCACTTTTCTAGTCGAACTCGAAGAGGGCATTCTTCTACTAGCCCCCTTCACTGAATAAAATTTCAAACTTTCAGATTCTCCTCTCAGACCCCAATCACCCAAAGAATTTATTGGATTCATCGATGAACCATTTGAGACTTGCTCTTTCTCTTTACCTCCCAATAACCACCATGAAAATCTAGTGAAAGAAAGAGCCATTTTTCTCTATTTTATCTTTTCAATAAAACAAAGTTAATGAGTAATTTATGGTTCAGTAGAATCAATGAATTGGAAGCAGAAGGAATTTAACTTCAAGAAATGATCAAATTTATACATAAGGAACACATAAAACACCAGTAAAATTGTCAAGCAATCCTATCCAAGCCCCAAAAGAAGAATCAAACAGCAACTATCAAGAAAAACCCAAAAGAATTGAATTTGATTAAGATAAAGTAGCACCAAATTATTGAAAATATTTAATCAACTTAACTTCACAGAACATCTGAACATGTCGTCATTATGACAGTCATAATTCAAGTACCGCCAGTTATAAATGAGGAAATAACCACTGAATTCTTCCCCAATGCCCAGAGAGTCCTAGGTAACCACACGCTCAAATAATTAAAAAAGAACTTATTTTGGAGCAGATATCAATAGAAAAATTAAAGAGGATGATACTGATTGACCCTTTTGTCCCTCATATCATCCACCCACAAAGTTTTCGACTTTATGAAGTTTCGAAGAAAAGGAAACGGCTAGACCACCGGAAAACCCAATAATTCACCGAAGTTTAAGAAACAAACAGCTATATCACCGGAGAATCTGAAAATTCTCGCCGGGATATAGAACCCCTTCAAGAAAATTTGAAGATTGAAAGAAAGGAAAAGGCTAAAGACTTCAAGGATTAGAAGTTTTTCGCTCTCTCTCAAAGAATTCCATTTTTTGTGAATTTACTGAGTTCCCCCGCCGGCGTCCCACCCTCTCTCTCTCTCTAGAATTATGCGATCCGCATGAGAACACACTTTCTCCGAAATGATATATCAAGTACTAGTCTGGTGGGTAACGGCCGGTAGTACATATATTCTGATTTTTGTTTGCCTGGCATTCTAACATATTTTTGGCAAGTCATTGCAACTTGATCAAGACATGATCGCATATTTTTTTATAATAAATTTAATTTAGACCTAGTAAATTTTCTATGTACTATGTTTCACAATTGACACGAGGTGGGGCTAGAGCCTGCCTATATTCAAATTATGATAGTACATGAACGCGTAGATGATTGGATTTTGAAGTGATATGCGGTCCGTTGATTTTTCAGTTTCAGGAATTTTTTAGTTTGCAACCATAAAATCTTTAGGCTAGGTCGTGCCGAACCTATGACTTCTACAACTTCTTTTTTATTTAACTTAAAATGAAGTAATTTTAAGTTTACTATAAATTAATTGATTTTGAAGTCAAAAAGCTGCGTGAAATTACTGAAAATCATTTGACTCAAAGTATCTAAAGAGTTATTGGACGACAACATTTTGCCCATGTTTAACACACATTCTCTGATTAGTTTGACTCAAAGAATCTAGTTGTATTTCGTTGTTAGTTTGAACTGTGATGAAGACATATTCTTTATTTGAAAATTGTCAACGTACGACTTATCATTCTTAAAAGTAGCTTTATAAGTAAACTGTGAAGTATCGAGTTAACAAAACTCATACTAATTCACGTGTAACATGTGCATATCTTTCTTTATGATGTAAATATATACTAGAAACGAGTATTTAAAGGTTTTAATTAAGTAATACTTCATTTGTCCCTCGTAAAAATGGGCTTGCTTTCTTTTTTCGCGTGTCTCAAATTATAAGTCACTGCCTTATTGAGAGTATAATTATTTTTTTAAATTTCTAATATATCCTTTGTTATCAACAACTACAAATTATTCATATTTAAATCATTATTGAAATTATGAGTATATTAGGGGGAAAAAAATCATATTTTCAACTATATTAAATTTTATTATGTGTGAAAGTGAAAATAAACCTATTTTTATTGGACTTAGGAAATAATAACTATAAGTTGATCAATTTAATTGACAGTAAGAAAAAAGAAAAACGTGCTCACTTGCTGGCTTTTGCAAAGACCACAAAATCTGACTATTAGAGGTTGCCCTTTTGAACTTTTCTTCTTCCATTATTAATTTGCATGTGCACTTTGCTCATTTCATGACAAAAAAGATTCATTGTATCGACAAAAAAGATTGATGTTTACAGCCAAGTTGGGTAAAATGTTAATTGATTCGATTTCTTCTGTAGAGAATTTAATAATTAATAGTACAGTGAGTTTGATCGACACAACTGTATCTAAATCTACAGTTTTCAACATTGGGAAATTGAAAATCAAACTAAAGGTTCATTTGACAGGACTTCTACTTTTTATAAAAGAGTTTTTTAAGGAAGATGCCTTAAATGATGTCTGAAAACTAATTTTTAAAAAAACTTTCACTTCCGAATGAGGAAGCTAACTATATAAACACCTTTTATAAGTAACTTTGGCCCTAATTCATTTTTCAATAGAATTGAGATAATTTTGAGCTTGTTTGGGAGTGATTTTAATCCAATTAAAATTAAAAATATAGCCGTTATTAGGTCTCACTCGTATAATAAAAGTCAACAATAACGGTTAGTTTTTCAATTTTAATCTAATTTTAATCTCCACCAAACAAACTCTTTATGTATTACACATGATGAATTAAATTGCTCTATGCTACTTATACCGATGATTATCATTATTATTATTAATAATATTATTATTCAAAATTCTAAAAATTATAAAAGATTATTTTTTTACAAATACGATCTATTTTGAAAAAATATAATAAGATGGGATGACTTTTTAAAGATAATCAAAATTAAACTTTTTAAACTAAAAATTTTTTGCATTTCCTTAAATTAAAATTAATTAAAAAAAAAAAAAGACAAAGGGAGAATTGCAACCATGGTCCCAAAAGACTTTATCTAAATTTTTAATTTGTACCACGCACAATCACAAACTTTTCATTTTTTTTGCAAAACAAGATGGGTTTTGTGTTTTGGTTTAGGGGTAGGTGGGGGTTGTGGTTAGCATGAGTTAAGCATCGGTACTTAAAAGATCAATTTCACATGTAACTAATGGTTAATCTATTCATTTGTCTTTGTGTTGCAACAAATGAAAGATTAAGAATCACTGATGGGACAAACTAAAGGTTTTGATAAAGTTTGGAAAAAAAAAATTGGAATCGTGACTGCAATTCTTCTGAAGACAAATCATACAAAATTATATATACTGAGAGGGGAATTTTCCGCAATTTAATAATAAAATAAAATTAAGCTTTGTAATTCTCATAAATATAAGAGGTCTTTGTAATTTATTGAAGAAAAAACTAAATCTGTATATTTACAATTAAATTCACAAATATACACACGTGTAGAGCAAATGCAACCAATTTGTCCAACTTGAAACATCTAAAATGGGGGAGAATAATAAATAACTGAAATGAAATATTGTAAGTTTTTAAATTGCTTGTTCTAATATCACGTGTTAGGTATCTGCTTAAATTATGCAAATTCAATATAATGATTTTTAAAAAATTAAGATTTTATGGTTTTCACAATTTAATTTAAGGCTGTGTTTGGGAAGAATTTTATACCAAATTTTAATCATTTTTATAAACGTTGCACCTGTGCCCAGCCTTCTTTTTTTTTTTTTTTTGAATTCCTCACACTGGGGCCCATTTGCAATTTAACAACGGTAAAAATTCTGCTGAAAATCTTTCACAAATTGGTGCCAGACAGGCGCTAAATACTGAAGAGCAATCCTTAATCTTTTATATTTTAAACTGATATTTTATCTTGCAGATTCTTGGGAATGGTATGGATATTCAGGACACATCACCATCGGTGCTATTGTTTTTTGACAAGCAGAGATTTATATTTAATGCTGGAGATGTAAGTATTACTTGTTTTAGTTCTTTACTTTGTAGGCCATATGTGAAATTTTCTGGTATTTAAATTTTCGTACACCACTTGCG